ATCCTGCAAGGCAACTGTAAGGTCCTCAAAACTCTTCCCCTTCTGGAACAGCGCACTCCACACACAGATGGGGCAGGAGATGAGGGTGAAGGACTAGGAGATCACTAGATCCTGAGCAAGATTTTTCTAGAAGGCAGTGGAGGGTCACACGTTTTTAATGAGGAGTGGCATGATTTCATTTGTGCTGACATGAACTTACAGTCTCTACATATCAGAGAGGAATACAGAGTATATGAGTATATGTTCCTTCCTTTAGGAACTTAGGAAGAATTTAGAAATTATTCTTTATTGTGAAGTATCTAATATAATGGTGCTGTGTTGATGAGCAAGGACACAGAAGTCAGGCTGGTTTTACTCCCAGATCTGCTACTTTGGGCTGTGAAGCCTTGGTCAATGACTTCTTGGTTTCTTCCCCTAACTTAAATATGGGAAATGATAATGATGGTTTCTATGACACAGGGTTGCCATGAGGATGAGACAAGGTTATATGTACACAGCACAGCACAGGAATACTGACCATCATCATGTCCCACACATCTGCTCCACCACCCGTCCTCTTGGTTTCGAGTCTTTTCCCAGCCATTGTAGTGGCGATCAGGCCCATAGGGTCTTTCACTGTGCAGATCTCATTCCCTTCCTGCACGAGGGCCACTTGGAGGCTGAAGTGCCTAGGTGGACCTGACAGACCTACCCAAAGTGCTGGGAGACAGCTGTGGTGGGCAGATCATAAACTTCCCTCCACTCTTCTCCTGGGCAAATAGATTGGAGATGTGTGTCATATGGCTTCTTAGGAGGTCCCAGGATAGAGCAAGCCACCACATAGTCGCTTTGGTGCTTTCACACCGGGCCTCCCCTTTGCTTCTTCATGTCCGCCCCCATCCTTCATTCCTGCTCCGCATTTAAACTTTTCTCAGAGTCTGCTTTCAGAGGTGCCTGGGCTAAAGCACCCATCGTAAGATAGTCCTACTTTCTGGAATTGCTGCCTTAAAAAATGTGAAGGAAGAAAAGGCGCTAAAAGCATAAATGTTCAAATCAGAGATGCAAGGAGATAATTTCCTGGAGTATAGTAGAACCCTGGCTATAACACAAGTTCCAAATTTCCCATATTCACTTGAGTGATGGTGACGGAATAGTGGTATGTTAAGGGGCATGGAAGTACTTTGAAATCTAGGATGATCCATGTCCTATTTTAAGCCTGCTGCTTACCATTGATACTGAGCAGATGTCTTCACTTGAACCTCAGTTTTCTTACCTGTGAAATGGACACAACAAATGCCTACTGATATTATGAATGATAGAGACTGTGAGGTGGGTCCTGATATGAGTTCAATAAATGTTAACTCTTGGTGTAACTGCTCTCTCTGACCAGCTTTGGAATGTTCAGGAGCAAATTTCCCCTCTTGCTTCATCTGTGCTTACTTCACTCCTACAATCAATGCTAAGTCTCTCAAAGGCAGTGACAGAATTTGTGATTGACACATTATCCCTTTCAAAGAAATGACTCCATTTTTACTGTCTGGGCAACCAGGTCTTAGACCCCGGATATGCTTGTCTTCCCTTGTGCTGACTTCCTGGGAAGTTGATTCTGAAGGAAGTTTGGGGAATTTTTCTGGGGTCACACTGTGGAAGGAAGAGAAGGAAGAAGGATGAGGCAGACGTGGGTGGTGAAGCAGTCATAAAGAATCAGCTGCTGTGTGGGGCTCTGAAACTAGATGGTGTTTCAGGAACTTTCTCACCCTCCCCTGCCAGTCGTGCGTGTGTCTGCCCGGGAAGGAGGGCTTTCCGTGCCCTGAAGGGGGAGCCGCGCGGCGAACAATGTGCTAGGCATGCTGTTTTCTACCAGACCCCACCGGCCCCTTCTTCCTTAGTAAGAGGTTGCTGATTTTGCTTGGGACAGCAACGTGCCCAACAAGTAAAAATATTCACTACCCTAGATGCCCGTGCAATGGCTGAAGCTTAAGGAACCCATTCTGACCAGAGAGCGAACAGCAGTCCAGGTTCCTGATCACATGGTGGAGTCAACAGAAAGTGAAAGGCTTTATCTGCTTAACCATTATAATCAGGTTTCTGTTGCATGTCACCCCACAGTCCTAAATAATTCAGACAGGAATGATCAAATTGTGCAGAAGAAAATGGTCCTTTCAGTTACGCACACAGACAGCTTTGAGTCCCATCTTGCAGCATGCTAGCATGCTAAGTGGGTGAACCTCAGACATGTCA